ATGAAGGTTCTAGACTGGTCTCCCCAAAGTCCTGACTGGAACCATCCAGAACCTGTGGACTGATGAAGGAACAAGTCTGAGTCAGAAAGACGACAGGTTCAGTTGAACTGCAGCGGTTCTGTCCAGAGGAGTCAGAGATGGACCAGAAGCTGGTGGACGGAACCAGAAGAACCCGACTGAGGAGGACATGGACCAGTATCAGCATGAATGAACGTATGTTTCTGACCCAGCAGATGTTGTCCTATCTCCAGAAGACCTTTGTGCTGTGTGATTTTACTGGACGCTCAGTGTGATGTGATGCTGAAGGCTGAAGGTGACCTTGCTGCCGGTCAGCTGAGCCAGGTAGGGCTTCAGCTCCTCCCCGATCACAGAGTAGATGGCCACCAGGCAGAAGACGCTGGCCTTCCTCACGCTGCTCTCCGTGTTGTCGTAGCCCTGCAGATAGAAATGACTCTGTGAGGAGTTCCTGTCCTGGTTTCATCATACAGTCGTGTTCCAGCTGCTGCTCCGGCGTCTAACAGTAACATCTGAACGTTTCTACAGACGTGTGTGAAATTACAGCTCCACAAAGCACTTTGTCTACTTCTTTAAAATCACAGTTCTTTTTTTACATTTAACTTTTGTGGCTGTTTGAACAAAATTATCTGAGAAATTAATAAAGATAAAAACAATACTGGACCAGTTTCACATCATTTTGTAGAATTTCTGAGTCAAGTTTTTGGTCTTTAGAGCAACAGTCGTGTCTTTCAGAACCAGTTCAGGTCATTTCAGACGAGTTTGCACCATTCTGGACACGTTTCAGGCCGTCGTTATGGAGCAGTGAGAGCGCCACATTAGAGAAATAAATCAACAAAAGAACAATTAAATAAAAAGACGAATAAACAAAAAAAACAAATATTGTGGCAATAGAAAGCAATATTAATCTAAGGAAATATAAGGACAAACAAATATAGTAAAAATAATAATTATTGATTTTTTATTTATTTATTTTAATTATTTTTAAAAAAGGTTTGATTTTTTTTTTCATTATTTTTTAATTTATTGCTTAATTAATTTTGTATTTTTTTATGTCGCTTTAAAAGCAAAGGAAATACGCCCTGAAAAATGTTGTGCGCATTAAAAAAGAAAAAAAGAAAAAATAATGAATGAAAAAATTAATGTAAAAAAATAATTTAAAAAATCATAAAAATAAATAAAAATAAATAAAATAACAAAATAATAAAAACTTTTTACTTTTTCAATTTGTTTATTTATTTGTCTTTTTTCTACTTTCATCAGCCTTTTCTTTTATGGATTCATTTTTGATTAATATTGCTTTATATCACCACATTATTTCTTTTCATTTCATCATTCTTATATTGATGTATTTGTGTAATTTGGCGCTCTCACTGCTCCATAAATTGAAGGCAGCTCTTCAGTTATTTCTGCCAGATTGCAGCTGGACAGAGCGTCAGCGTGTGATTTATGTGTGTTCATAGGAGCTGCTGCAGAGTTCATGACTTCATTGAGTAGAATCGAGCCCCTCTGATGAGTCTTTACATGTTCCTCATGTGTAAACTAGAAACCCGGCGCCTTGGCCGGGTTGAGGCGGACCTGCAGGAGTCCAGGGATGACGTCGGGCAGCAGCTGGTGCAGCGGCTCCTTGGCGATGCGCTCGATGGCCCTCGTCTGCATCTTGATGGCGGCCAGGTTGATGGGGTAGTCGGCCGTCTGCACGATGGGGCACAGCACCTTGATGCACTGCTCTGGATGGGCGGAGCCGGCCAGCGTGGACGCCGCCTCCTCGGCCGCCCGGACCACCTGAGAGCACAGCGATGCAGGTTTAGATTCGGCGCGCTCGGACGTGGCGGCGCTCCGTTCGTGGCGGTGCTCACCTCCTTGTGCGAGTCCTTGTGGGCCTCCAGCGTCTTCATGATGGTGAGCTCGGCGTAGTTCTTGAAGCGGGCCGGCTGGTTCCTCAGGATCTCCTTCAGGACTCGCAGGGCCAGAGCTCGGATGGTGTGCTGAGGAAACACGAGTCATTCCACCTTAAAGCGTCACATTTTCACAGCCCTTACCATCTCTGATCCGCCGTCAGGTTGCATCAAACACAGACGTTGATCAAGACATGTCAGACCCTTTAGCTTCATACGTCAGACCCTTTAGCTTTACATGTCAGACCCTTTAGCTTCACATGTCAGACCCTTTAGCTTCATACGTCAGACCCTTTAGCTTTACATGTCAGACCCTTTAGCTTCA